GCTGGTATAATGGCTGTTTATTATAACGGTGTATAATTGCCCTGGGTTCAGGCTGGTATAATGACGGTTTTTTATAACGGTGTATAATTGCCCTGGGTTCAGGCTGGTATAATGACGGTTTATTATAACGGTGTATAATTGCCCTGGGTTCAGGCTGGTATAATGACGGCTTATTATAACGGTGTATAATTTCCCTGGGTTCAGGCTGGTATAATGGCTGTTTATTATAACGGTATATAATTGCCCTGGGTTCGGGCTGGTATAATGGCTGTTTATTATAACGGTGTATAATTGCCCTGGGTTCGGGCTGGTATAATGGCTGTTTATTATAACGGTGTATAATTGCCCTATATATTTGTCAGGGCTTACCTGGGTTGGGAGTCCGGCAGGCAGAGATATATGCTCACCCTTGCAAGTAACCACATGCCGAGGTGGTCAGATGAGGATTCACCTGGCCTGTGAGTCGGTGCACGGGGGCTGCGCTGGGTAAACTCCAAGTCGCGGTACAGGAACGGGTAAAGCAGGAGAATAGTCGTGGGAAGCCAAAGGTCAGAATCAACGAAACAACAAGCCGGGGTCAAGAGATACATTGGAGAACAGGCAACAGCCAACCGATAACCAGAGTCAAGGACCTGACACTGCCTTCTGGGCGATGCAGTGTTTTATACCGGGCTAACGAGACGATCCACAACAGGCGTACAGCCCCCAGTGCTGGATACAGACAGGGCAGGAATGAACTTCCAAGCTAAAAGCAAGAACTGAATGTGGTTCAGAGGCAGAGACACAGACCTGGAATGCACAAGGCTTCAGGTTCAAGTCCCCTGTTGGGTTCTCCCAGGGCGACCATGTCTTGCTGTCTGTATGTTGTGGTGATAACCATGATGATATTATATTGCTTCTGGTTTAGTGACTGTGTATTATAATTATTGCCCTATAAATATATTATTATATTAATGGCTGCTGGTTTAGTGACTGTGTATTATAATGGCTGTTTGTTATAACTATATTATTGCCCTATATATTATTATATTAATGGCTGCTGGTTTAGTGACTGTTTATTATAACTGTGTATTATAATGGCTGTTTATTATAACCGTGCATTATAATGGCTGTTTGTTATAACTATATTATTGCCCTATATATTATTATATTGATGGCTGCTGGTTTAGTGACTGTTTATTATAACTGTGTATTATAATGGCTGTTTATTATAACCGTGCATTATAATGGCTGTTTGTTATAACTATATTATTGCCCTATATATTATTATATTGATGGCTGCTGGTTTAGTGACTGTTTATTATAACTGTGTATTATAATGGCTGTTTATTATAACCGTGCATTATAATGGCTGTTTGTTATAACTATATTATTGCCCTATATATTATTATACTGATGGCTGCTGGTTTAGTGACTGTTTATTATAACTGTGTATTATAATGGCTGTTTATTATAACCGTGCATTATAATGGCTGTTTGTTATAACTATATTATTGCCCTATATATTATTATATTGATGGCTGCTGGTTTAGTGACTGTTTATTATAACTGTGTATTATAGTGGCTGTTTATTATAACTGTGCATTATAATGGCTGTTTGTTAAAACTATATTATTGCCCTATATTATTATATTGATGGCCGCTGGTTTAGTGACTGTTTATTATAACTGTGTATTATAATGGCTGTTTATTATAATGTATATTATTTTCCTATATATTATTATATTAATGGCTGTTTATTATAATGTATATTATTTTCCTATATATTATTATATTAATGGCTGTTTATAATGTATATTATTTTCCTATATATTATTATATTAATGGCTGTTTATTATAACTATATATTATTATATTGTATTAATGGCTGTTTATTATAACTATATATTATTATATTATACTGATGGCTGTTTATTATAATGTATATATTATTATATTATATTAATGGCTGTTTATTATAACTATATATTATACTGTATTAATGGCTGTTTATTATAATGTATATATTATTATACTGTACTGATGGCTGCTGGGCTGTTTATTATAACTATATATTATTATATTATATTAATGGCTGTTTATTATAATGTATATATTATACTGTATTAATGGCTGTTTATTATAATGTATGTATTATTATATTATACTGATGGCTGTTTATTATAATGTATATATTATATTAATGGCTGTTTATTATAACTATATATTATTATATTATATTAATGGCTGTTTATTATAATGTATATATTATTATATTATATTAATGGCTGTTTATTATAATGTATGTTATATTAATGGCTGCTGGTATAATGTATATATTATATTATATTATATTATAGGATATTAATGGCTGCTGGTATAATGGCTGTTTATTATAATGTATATATTATATATTATTATATTATATTAATGGCTGCTGGTATAATGGCTGTTTATGATAATGTATATATTATATTAATGGCTGTTTATTATAATGTATATATTATATTATATTATATGATATTAATGGCTGTTTATTATAATATATATATTATTATATGATATTAATGGCTGTTTATTATAATGTATATATTATTATATGATATTAATGGCTGTTTATTATAATGTATATATTATATTATAGGATATTAATGGCTGCTGGTATAATGGCTGTTTATTATAATGTATATATTATATATTATTATATGATATTAATGGCTGTTTATTATAATGTATATATTATATTATATTATAGGATATTAATGGCTGCTGGTATAATGGCTGTTTATTATAATGTATTATATTATATTATATTATAGGATATTAATGGCTGCTGGTATAATGGCTGTTTATTATAATGTATATATTATATTATATTATATTATAGGATATTAATGGCTGCTGGTATAATGTATATATTATATATATTATATTATATTATATTATAGGATATTAATGGCTGCTGGTATAATGGCTGTTTATTATAATGTATATATTATATTATATTATATTATAGGATATTAATGGCTGCTGGTATAATGTATATATTATATTATATTATATTATATTATATTATTATATTATATTAATGGCTGCTGGTATAATGGCTGTTTATGATAATGTATATATTATATTATATTATATTATAGGATATTAATGGCTGCTGGTATAATGGCTGTTTATTATAATGTATATATTATATTATATTATATTATAGGATATTAATGGCTGCTGGTATAATGGCTGTTTATTATAATGTATATATTATATTATATTATATTATAGGATATTAATGGCTGCTGGTATAATGTATATATTATATTATATTATATTATATTATTATATTATATTAATGGCTGCTGGTATAATGGCTGTTTATGATAATGTATATATTATATTATATTATATTATAGGATATTAATGGCTGCTGGTATAATGGCTGTTTATTATAATGTATATATTATATTATATTATATTATATTATAGGATATTAATGGCTGCTGGTATAATGGCTGTTTATTATAATGTATATATTATATTATATTATATTATAGGATATTAATGGCTGCTGGTATAATGGCTGTTTATGATAATGTATATATTATATTATATTATATTATATTATAGGATATTAATGGCTGCTGGTATAATGGCTGTTTATTATAATGTATATATTATATTATATTATATTATATTATAGGATATTAATGGCTGCTGGTATAATGGCTGTTTATTATAATGTATATATTATATTATATTATATTATAGGATATTAATGGCTGCTGGTATAATGGCTGTTTATGATAATGTATATATTATATTATATATTATTATATGATATTAATGGCTGTTTATGATAATGTATATATTATATTATATTATATTATTATATTGTATTGATGGCTGCTGGGTTCAGGCTGACTCTGGGAATTAAAGGGCTGGGTGGGCGGGGCTGTATTCTGCTCCCCTGGCTTTGGCTGTGGCTGTGACTGTTGCATGTCGGGAGTTGTTGTTTCCCGCCCTTTCCTGCCTATTGGTTGCTGGCGGCTCGGCACTACCATTCCCGTGATGCAGTGCGCGGCCTGTGGGCGGGCCTGGCTGCTGGCTGGATCTATTTCTTCTTGAATGTGGCGGCGGGAATCAGTTTTCCCGAATGGGGGGGGAGTGAGCACTCACACTCAGCCTCGCACTCCGCCTCACTCTCAGCTACTTCACCTGCACTGAGCCGCCTGAGTACGGTGAGTAACCGGGGGGGGGGGTCTCACTGTGTAACCGGGGGTCTCACCGGGGGTCTGACCGTGTAACCGGGG